CAACAATATTTTACTTTATCACTTATTAACCCAAATTGTCTCAGATTCATTTTTTTGGTTTCATCTATATATAGGGTAAAAGTAGCGTTAAAGTAAAGGAAAAAATATGACTAAAACTTTGGGAGTAGTATAGTTCTTCCGATATCGGCCGTTGCCATATGGCAACACAGGGCGTATTCCAGATGGATTGTTAGAGGGCAGTATTTGGTTAAAATATGAAATAATAGAAACATTGTTTATTAGTTTTAATACATTTATTGATAATATATGCATATTCTACGAGCAAAGCGGATGAAGAAATTAATTTTTAGTATGAAAAATAGCAAAATAATTTCAAACATAAACCCACATCACATTTTGCACAGGCTACTCATCCTATAGTTTTACATGCTTCACCAGCAGAAGGCCAGTCACGCCCTTCATCCATGTCAAACAATGCTGAGAGTTACTTGGGGTTTGTCACCTGCTCTGATGCATTAGTGCTATACAGCACTAGTCAACCCAATATTGCTCTATGGCGCTTTGCTGTGTTGGAATGCCGCAAAAAAGTCCTTATGCCTCGGACGAATGTAGAAGGTTCAGCGCGGGAGCGCTGAGGTCCACTTCGATGGCTGCTCTTTAAAAAAAACCCATAGTTTACCGCCCATTGGCCGATTTGTGGAAAACCGTGCTGCGAAATCCGCACGTAGATTGACGGTCATAGGGAAAATCAATTTCAGAACCTTTGGGCACCGTCTATTTGGGGCGGGAAGCCCAAGTGGAAACGAACATTTTGCACATTGGTTGAGGAGGAGGGGTGGCGCAAGGGAATGAAACCTAGCCATGGATCCCTAAACATTTTTACGGACGGCTCTAAAATGGTTACAGGAGTGAGTGCCGAGATTTACTGCTGGGAACTGAACGTCAGGCGGATAGTAAGGCTACCTGACCATTGCAGCATATTTCAAGCACAGTTTTCGCAATGAGGATAACTGTAGAGCTAGCCTTCACCGAAACGTCGATCAATTCTAAATTAAACCTATTCCAGGTGGCAATCAGGCAGTTTCCTCATATAGTATTTCATGCATAAACGTCCTTCGCAGCCGGAAACCATTGGCAAGCTATATGCTGATAAAAGCCTACATATCTATTGGCTGCCCGGTCACAAGGGAATCTAGGGTAAATAGCAGATGAGAATGCAAAAACCGCCACCAGTCTTCCCTGGAATAGAAAAATTACATTTGTATACCACTTTAACACTTGTACAGTGAAATATACGATAATATGATTAGGCAGTTCAGGGCTAGATGGAATGAGTTAACCATCTGCAAAACTGCAAAAATACATACAAACGATTATTGTTTTACACCGTCCCATACATGATCGTATTTTGCGTTGCCATATGGCCACACGGGGTGAATTTGGGCTAGCGAACATATCAACATTTGGTAAAAAGAGGAACAGTTCACATTACGCCCCGTGTTGCCATATGGCAACG